AACATAATTATAACAGCGTTTAAGAGAACTGAATAAATTCATGGTGGTTAAGTCCATCAATGGCTATTAGCCAGGATGGGTAAGGAATGGTGTCCTAGCCTCTGCTTGGCAGAGGATGGAGATTGATGGCAGGAGAGAGATCACTTGATCATTGCCTGTTGGTCCACTCCCTCTGGGGCACCTGGCATTGGCCACTGTCGGTAGACAGGATACTGGGCTAGATGGACCTTTGGTCTGACCCAGTACGGCCGTTCTTATGTTCTTATGACTCCAGTCAGTGACTGGGGATCTCAATCCTTGTGGCTTAAGGTTTCCCCCTCTTGAAACCCAAAGCAGATCTGAGATGAAGTAGGATCATGTCCCAAGGTTCTTATACATTTCCAGAAGCCTTTTGGCCTGAGAAAACAATAGGCTCAACTTTCCTTCTTCTAAACATTATGGCAATTAGCACAGGGTAATTTATCCATTAAACAGTTCAGATACAGGTTACCACAACCTTCAAAGAGACATATAGACAATAATACTAATTCCCTCAAGTGTCTTCCTAAATACTGATATTCCTTTTTTGATCTTTGAATCAAAGCTATACTAATAGACAAGACTTGTTTGCTTACATCACAAGCCCTGAGCAAACATCTACCCTTCTATCTCTAACAATGCAGACTTGCATTTCAAAGCTCTATTCATTTACCTATCTTCCTAACCATTCTCTAAAGTTCGGCCATTGGTCAGGTCAATCTGTGAGTTCATTAACTCTTTCTGGCCCTGTCACCTTCCAGTGAAACATTATATTACACTCATAATGTCACACACGCAAATGAGAAATGTCTTAAAAACATGGAGCTTTCCTTTTGAGCACTATAATAGGGATCCACCTCTTGAGATCCTCTTAGTGGCTGGGTATGGTACCACAATCCTTTTCTCACCCCTGGTGCACCCTGCCAGCTGACCTCAGTGAATCTTCTGTGGCTCAGGCCTCTGGCTGAGTCCCAAAGTCCAAATGAACCCCTTCTGGGGTAGTCAAGAACAGTCCTATTACCCTCATTAGGGTCTCCGCCCCAACTCTGGGTCCTTTAAATTCTGCCCTTTGTTCAAGCTCTCCATAACATTGTCCCCTTCGTGGGGCTTATGCCACTGTAGATGGTAGGGGAACCTGGGCCTGCCCATAACTCTGGGTTCCAAACCATGGACAGTATAAACAGTAGCTAGGCATTGCTTAATTTCAGTTCATTGTTGCTTCTTCTCTGGGCTTCTTCCTACCAGCCACTTTTAGCTTCACCCTCACCTCAGGGTTAAAGTTCTTAGGGACTCTCTTCCTGCAAACCCAGCTGAAGCAAATGCTGCCAGAATCAAACTCCAGCTATCCCCTGAATTTCTGTGGCCAGAGAGCAGCACCCTTTCTTGCCCCTCCAGTTCCTGCCAGGAACCAACCTGCTAAGGCCCTGCAGCTCCTTTTATCTGAGTTTGATGGACTCTGATTGGCTGCTTTCATGAGGCCTCTCTAGACAGACCCAGGTTTGTGGCTCTTTTCCTAGGGCAGGGTATAGTAGGACCACGGGGCCTCTTGTAAGGAGCCTCAAAGCGCAGATACAACCCATCACAGGCATAGATAGATTGTTTTTCTTAGAACCAGATGAGCCCCTAAGATAGTTGCTTAGCATAAATGGGAAATATAATGACAATGTTAGAGGAAGGATGTGGAAAGGGAGGATGGTCCAGCAGTTAGCACACTTGCCTAGGACTTAGGAGACCCAGGTTCAATTTCCTGCTTCCTCATAGACTTCCTGTGTGACCTTGGGCAAGTCACTTAGCACTTCTGTGCATCAGTTCCCTGCCTGTAAAATAGGAATAATAGTGCTTCCCTACCTCACAGGAGTGTTGTGGGGATACATACATTAAAGAGTTTTGAGGTATTCAGATACTACAGTAATGAGAACCTAAGCTAGATGTTAATGTTTTTGTATGTTGCTTGTTTTGTAGTATTAGGACACTAGGTTCATTCAGAAGATCTGCTGAGCTAAACCAAAATCAGGAGCTGTTGGTTAGTATCAGCACTAGGACTTGGCAGAAGAGGTCCAGTAATTCAAACTCTGTCTGTATCTCTCTCAGCCAGCACCAGTGGTTGTGTAGCTAGTATAGGCAATGACAGCAATAAAAATAACAGAGAGAGAATGACTCACAAAGGTGTAATGAAGTTCCTTGTGAGGTTTCCATATAAAATGACAATTACTCCTATGAACTGAACTGTACAACTCCCGAAAGAAAGGCATATAACAGGCATATAATGGTGAAACTGCTCTTCAGAGCCCTGTGTCTTACCTGGGCAAAGAAAGCTGTGCTGGTGACTCGGTGGTTTTCTGTTGGGGAATTCACCCAGGGGAGGATGCTCTGTATGAGCTCAGGTGTTATTAGTCCAGAACTTAGCAGAACATTGGAAGACAAAAGAAACCACTTATGGGGTAGATTGCACACTTCAAAAACTCAGCTGATCTGAGCATACAGCTCTGACATCTATGAGTGGGAGCTGTGTGTTTCCACTCAGGGCACCCCACACAAAACTATAAACTGGAGGTTC